CTTCCGATCTCCTTCAAATCGGTAAAACGGGATTCTTTCCTTCTCTGGTCTGCCGTTCTCCGTACACTTGTGTGTTGGTGGATTGCTTGGCGTCCATGAAGCCTTTTGCGACGTTGCCATGCGTATGCCAGTAATGCATCGTTGCCGGGCTCTTGCACTATTCTGTTCCTTTTTGCTCGTTCACACGTTCGCCAGATCTCTCTCATACCTTCGTATGTGCGCGGCCAGGATCAACCATATACCCTCCTCCGCCAACGGCCAACATCCCTACCCGTACTATTCACAGCCCCTCCGCCCCTTCTCGTCATTTCTCTACTCTTCCCTACCCAACCCTTCTCTTCCCTTCTACCCAGCCGCAAAGGCAGCGAGTTTGCTTGTGCCCGATGCAGTGCCGTATACACCAATTTAACTTACTTATATGTCAATTTCTAAAAGAATCTTACTACTATCAGAAATTAACATTTGTAAGGAATCTTTATACAGACACACATACTCGCGCATATATATATATATATATATATATATATAAAGATACATATATATAAATTGATTTTTATATATATGTATATTGTATATGATGTATACATAGATAGAGGTTATATGTATAGAGATATATGTATATACTGTTCTTATTGGATGAGAAATTGAGCAAACATAAAACATTATATTACAAATTTACATATATTTATTTTTTATGCGTACATATGTACATACTTACAAAATATAGGTTGAATAAAATTCAATATATATGCTAACAGAAATAGATACTTTTCGTTTGGTCTTTTATAGCTACAGTAATTTTTTTTTACTTGATATATAAATAATTGATTATTTAGGATTATTTATTATGTAGAATTATTTGTACTTTATCTCTTATTTCGTATAATACGTAACACCAAATCACTTTAGATTAATTAAATTTAGTTTTAAACATACCTAGAGCTATAGTGTAACAGTAAATAATTGAATTAGCAATTCTATAATTTTTTCTTTTCACAAATTTACCAGTTTGATAATGTTATTCATATGCTACAATATGTATGCTTTCTAGTGTTTCCTAGTTCGAGGAAGTTTTTCGATAAGTAAATACTATCTAATTTATAAAAAATTGATAAAAAAGAAACGAATTTTAAATGAAAGTGTAAGTTAAAATATGTATTGCAACGAACAAAATTAAAGAAAATTCGGTTTGAAGTCACATAAATGATGAAATTTAAAACCTATCGAACAGCATGAATGATACGTATATAATATGTACATACATGTGCATATATAAAAAATATTGACATTACATTATCCAAATGTATCTCCAACAGAATCGTATATAATAGAAATATATAAGTCCAATACATTGAAAGACATTATATATACATAGCTAATATGTATACTAGATTTCGTTTATAAACTATCACCTTTAAGTCGCGAAGAGCTTTAGGGTTATATGTATGTATCTCTCTTCGACATGCCGTTAACGTGCAAAATGAGCGTTTTATATTTTCTCTTCATTTGTGATGTTCGAAATTCTATTTATATTGTATAAATGACCTAGGATTTAATAGGTAATTATATAATATATGTAAATATAATGAAAAAAAGAAAAAATATTCAGTGAACGAAAAGCGGTGGCACCGTAAGAACCAGAATAAAACGGTCCTGAGCTAGCGTAGACCTCCGTCCCCCGCGACGCTACGTCGACGGTCGGTTCGGTTGCTCGCTCGTTCTCGTTCGTTTTCACCCCACTCCAACTCATACGTCCCCGGTCCCTTATGACCCCACCTGCCCCGTACCCAGAAACTTTACCCTCACCCCGCCACATTCACTGCCCCTTCCCCCTAACCTCTCTGTGATTCCGCCTTGCCTGCTGCCAGCCAGCCGTCCGTCCTTACGTCCGTCCGTCCACCGTTTGGATCTATGGTTGTGTCGGTGGATTTCGTGACGTTAACCTGGCGGCCCTGAAAACGTTGGACTGACGTACGATTTCGACTACCCTTCTCGTTGGGGCGCGAATGTAAGACGCGAGTGTTTTTTAATCACCGTAGCCGCCGCACTGGAATATACCATGGACTAGTTCGGGTAAGAGAAGAGAAATGTGTGGTGAAACTAACCGATACGTTCCCGGTCGTGTTAAACTCCTCCAACGGAGTATAAGAAACTCTTAAACGACCAGTGATCGGCGAAAAGAAATGTTGGTGCACAAGGAAAAATTACCTAAACATATTTCTTCAGGTTCTTTTCTTTTTTTCTTTCTCTCGTTCACATACGCGCGCGCACTACCAAATACATACCAATACGTATACGCGCGCGCACACGTATACACATATACATATCACATCCTTATCCATACACATATACGCGACTTTTTCTTTTATCTTCCTTTGAACAATATGCGTAAATGTACATAATGTATCCCTTTCATTCTCTTACATATGTTGAGTGTGTACACGTATATTGTTAATTTATTATATTATAAAATGCATCCTATCCTTTTTTCTCCCCCTTTCTTTCACCCCTTCTCTTTGCATTTATTCTGTTTATTCTTCGGATAAGATAAACATGGAGAAGGGTAACAGAAAAAGAGAGAAAACGAGTATGCTGCACCTGTATCTAACCCTAAACAGTTATACAATGGTATTACGAAGTGTACAACAGTGAAACCATGCATTCTGATAACATCGTAATAGAGAACGATTCCGTAATATGTGCCGCCCGTGTCGATCATAATGTTCATTTGCAACATTCGAAGTGCGTTCTAATCGGTCGTTGGTTCATTCGTTGGTCGGCTCATCGATTCGTCTTATCCGTGCCGTGGTAGTTTATTTGTTTCACGTTCTTCGGCCCTTTGGGCACATTGTACGTTCTCTACCGTTTCTTCTTATAATTCTCCTATCTTTTCTCCTGTTTATATATATCTCAACCATATTCCAAGATTCTTAAGAATAACGTGTTTATGTGGTGTTTTATGGTGTTTGGAAGTTACCGACCGAGTGTTACTTCTGCTATTTTCCTGTGCTACATTGCTGCGTCTGGCTACTTGCGTATTTAGACCCCGTGTGTCGTGTTCCGTTTGCCTCTGATGATTTTAAAGGTGTTGTCTCAGCGGACTTGTGTTTTGGTGATATCTTGCAATCCTGTGCTTTCCCCATACCGGTTAGCAAAAGTTCTTTCCATTTGCACGCGAGAATCGCGTTTTATAATGGTGTCCGGAGCAGTGTGAAAGAGTGCTGGAGAGTATTCAAGATCCTGAAATAGCGAATCTAATAATAGGCGATATCTTATTCCGACCACTTTTCGTGTGAACTTGAAGAGATAACAACGCAGCGTGTGATTAATTAACGAACAAAATCGTACGTATGTTATATAATTGTTACATGTCCAAAAACAAAAAAAAAATGTTACCGCATTGTGGCTGGATGAATTATAACACGATCACCCTTTCTTTTTCGTCATTCTCACGACCATGCCGTGAAACGTTTACCGCCTGGGGAACAAGCGAACTCAATCGCAACTGTTGAACCGATGGTGACGTGTCTCGTTCTTTTATGTTATATCAACTTTGTTTTCTTTAACGTACCTTCTCGCAAATCATTATATTATGCTTTAATTAGCCAACGAAATCAGTGATTCATAATGTCCTATCAAAGTGATAAGAACACGATAATTATTATCCTTTCGATAATTATGCGAACCTCTCGATGAAGGTGCATTTTCTTTTATCGAACCAGTGATCGTGTTTCTTTAATTAACGTTCATCGTGGGTACCATTGATGTGGAAAAATATTTCCAATTATTTTCCGATTTTTTTATTCCTTGTTGTTCCTTTTGTTCAATGTTAGTGATATTTAAGCCTAGCTTTATCTTTCAATCGATTCAAGTTGAAGACTTCCACTTCGTGATACATCGGTTTCTCTTAACCGCACACAGACGCGTTTCTATTGAAGTCGTCGCTTCTCTGCAGACGGTGTTAGACAAATTTCCACGCTTACTTTCGCATTGCTTTAAAAATCCCATTTGACGAGGTTGATTATCTAATTTTGAGTACACGCCCACTGTTATGTAAGTGAACCGTACAAGAATCGAGTACCTTATCAGTTATCCGCAAAGTACTTTGATCAAGTAGAACAGTTCGATGCTGCGATACTGATATTTTAATAAATACTCGCTTTGAATTTATCAACTATACTCCGTGCAATAGTCGTCTCGTTTTCACGCATTTCAGACGCGGGATTCGTTTTTTAATTTACTTCACTGTTTATGAAGCTCGTTTAATTTTTATCGTCATCAGCTCTCCGCTTCTTCGTGTTCTTCATGTAAACCCATCAAATTTATTCTTCCAAAATCTGAAAAATTTTTATTATATTAAATTAAATCAAAATTCAAATAAAAATTTTATTTCATTTCTTTATTTCTTTGTGCTGCACAAAGAAGTTAAAGGATATTTTGAGTATTCAAAAATTCAAATTGAATCGTTTGAAAAAGTTAATTGCTGTGAATAGTTTCACCATTATTACATACTTTATTCGATAAACAGTGCGAATCAAATTTTGTAAAAATTTAGACTTATAAATGTCGGGTTTCTTGATTATAACGATTCCAGTTTTCCATTTTCTACTTACACAAATTTGGCTCTTCTTGGGTTTTAAAATTCCTTTTTTTTTTTTTTTTTTTTAATATTTTAATATTTTAAACGTGATTTTTTCGGTTTTCATAAAGTACATTTTACATGTTTCTTCGATTTCCCTTCCTTGCAATTTTCTACTTGTGCAAAACGTGATTCTTCCATTTCTTGCGATTTGTTGCTGGCACAAACGCTATTCTCCGATTTCCATTACGATTTCTTTGCGATTTTCTATTTATACTAAACATAATGCTGCATTTAGTGTACTTCTAATTTTACTAAATTAATAATTTTAATTTTAATTTCGTCGTGCCTAAAAAGACATATTTCTTCAATTTCAATACCGTGCATTTTGTTTACATATCGCATCTTCGTTTTTTCTTCTTAACGAGCACTGATTTTTCTGTTTGGATAAAGGAAAATACGTCAAAATTGCAATTGTTTTTATTCTAATATCGATTATCATGCTCAGTATTATCGCTGTAGAAATTGGTCTACCTTGCATTTCTCGTTTTGATTTTTTATTTTTGATTTTCATCTTTTGCCCACATTCCACCTAATTTTTCCTTCTTTTTCGTAAAATTCTCGATGGAATAAAGATGTCGATCAGCTTTTCTAATATTTATTATATTTTCCTTACATATTAACATTTTCTCGAGGCTTCTGAAATTAGGAAAATTGTGGTTAATCAAGTTATAAAAATCGACCTTTTGTGTAACATTTATTGGAAATATTTGTTTATAAAACGTATAAATTTAGAAATTTTCGAAATTAGAAAAATTGTAGTTAATTTTAACGTGACTTAAATATGTTTAAGATTTTTTATTTCTTTTGTGAAATTTTTAGCGTATTTTGCGCTTTTTGAACCTGTGATAATATTTGAAAGCCATTGAATCATATTCCAATTGTTTTGATATTATTTTAAAAGTTCTATTTTTTGCTTATTGCTCAGTTTCATTTCTTAAGGAACGTTTTAAAGAAATAACAAATATTTCAAAGTCTTGAAAAACTAATACAGTATTACATAACAATTGCGTAATGTAGGTACTATTATTGTTATTGTATTTATGAAGTATTACGAGTATATAATAAATCATATATTGTAATTAAATATCTGCCCATTTGCTTAGATTTATTTAGGACATAAAAGCATTTTTCAAAATATGGACAGGTATTTTATGATGCTTTTATACTAAAAGCACAATAGTACATCCGAAAAAGAAAAGGGTCAAAGTCAGTTAAAGTGACTATCTTATTACATTTGCTTTCAATATTCTAAATCATAAAAATAAAAATTCATACCGTATCAAAGAATTATATCTTAGCTTAATATAAAATCAAATATGTTCCCAAATTTATTAATTTGTGTTTTGTTCGCGTCATACTGTACTTTTTGAGAATAGAATTTAAGACTTTACCAAAATTTTAATATCATTCCTTATTCTATATTGTTTTGATTATTATTCATGTTTAATTACTTTCCTATCTGCTTCTAACAGAAGCTTGTTGATGCACCTAAAATTATTGATAAATTAAACAAATTATATAACACTATGATTTATTTGCTTTTTCTGTTATTTAGATGGAAAGTGTGTACTATGACTTACTTTCGTTACATAAATAATCCCAATGAATCATATTAGATAAGAAAAATTTTGTTCAGTCCGATTGAAAGAAGTGGCAAAATATTGATAGTAAAATTTGTTCCGTATATTTATATTGTCTTCACGATTTACCTTGTACGCAAAATTTTGCAGTATATATTTTATTTCACATCTAGACGTCATTTTATAATTCATGTTATAACATGGACAACGTAGTATATGTAGTTGCCCAATTACGCAATTATTTAAACGGCATTTTTATTTCTTTCGAAATTCCATACCTTGAAAATGTAATGCAATATTTAAATTTAATATCTAAAATGAAAGAAAGAACAAAAAAACTTGAAGCAAACCTGCATGCACATGTATATATTTCTCCTTTAATTTATTATCGTTTGACTGTATTGCATGTTGTTCTTGTAGACATAAAAATGGATTATGAAGAATTCGTGTATTTCGTATATTGTTGTATTAAGTATATTAATAATAAATTCGACGAAATATTTTCTAATATTTCAACTGCATTTTCATTGAAAACGCTATTCTAAAGTGAAATACTTTATACATCTGCTGAAAAGTAAATATAACCTTCAATGATGCCTAAAAGTAGAAGTGACGGTTTATAACCTTTATATAAAATAAAGTATTAAATACTTTCATTTATACGTACGTTAAATCGTGCAAAATTGTATTGACGATATTACAAATAGAGAGTAATAATTATAAATATTCTACAAAATAAATTTGCCAAATTTTATTACCATTGAATATATGCAACGTAGGAACTACTTTATTGAAGAATCTTCGTTATAAACAGGTCATGGGAACGACGCATTATACAGTTCGTGGTTAATAAAATTAATAATTTTATATGTTGGTGATTCCATCTATTCGTTCTATTCGAAGTTTGTAAAAATTTTCCAGTGTGTCGGGTAACATAATTAGGATGATACATTGGAATGTGTAAAAGAGTTCCCAAACAAAATACAGTCTTTTCATTGGTATGATCTATTGCTTCGCACTCACTCTTTTTACGCGTTGACGCGCTACAAAACTACAGTCCAGTTCGGTTTGATTCGACTCTTCTCGGTTCGACTCGGCTCGACTTTGAGTCACAACGACTGCGGAGCTATCGACCGTTCTAGGTTTAGCAAGATAATAATAATTCGGATGGAATGTATTCAGCGGGAATGGAATGAATTCTTGTACGCTTTACACACTGCTGTATTGGTTATTATTAGTTTTAAAACTACATGTTGTAGCATAGGAGGTAACTTTTTCCTGTCATTTTCGGTGACATTTTATCTGTTATCAAATCTTTCATATTTAACAAACGTTGTATATATATTGCATATTCTCGGAAGTATAAACTAATTTCAATGCTGTATTTGTATATTCAGAGTTCGAATGGTTTACCAAAATTGTATAACTCACTACCATATTTTCACCAAAGAAAACGCATTCTTTTTTAAAATTCACATAAGTCATATATCTTTCGAAAAATTGAATTTCTTATTAAATTTCTGTCTATGTATACATGCGTATATGGTTTTGTTATAATTTATATCAACAGTTTGCATTATTGTAATACAGTCAATTAAAAAATACATGCATATACAATATAATAGCCAACTTTCTTTTGACAGTTAACGATTTTTGGGGAATTATTGGCAATAATGTTAGTAATATATTTTTTTGTAGAAGCAAGATTAATTCTTTGTCTTTAGGAGACGATTCTCAATCACCATTTATCAAAATTGTACAAATTGATGTTTAAGTAAAATAATTATACATATATATATAAAATTTTTCTTCTTTTCTCTTTTTTTTCAAAAGATGTCATCGAGTTTATAATAGGAAAGTTTCGCGTTGCTAATTTTCTACAGTGCCAAGGGCTAGTGAATTTTTTCAAAAATATTACTATTCAGGAATATTTAAGTTGGTATTGGAAAGCATTTTAGAATTCATTTGATAACATCTTTTTGGAATGATAGGTTAATTTTAGTAGAAATTTTTGCTACGATTTCGTATGTAAATTTTGCAAATAAAAATTACTGATTTGATACATAATATGAATTTTTTAATTTTTATGCTTACAACAGAAGCTAATTTTGTACTTAAGGCAGACACACGATGCGTCGAATGCTGATTATTATGATAAAATTACGCGTGTTGCATAGTGAGAAAAGTCAGAGAACAAAATGCTTTTTCGTACATTAATATTTAAATCTCCGAATATAATATTTAAATATTTTGAAACGTTGAAACATATTTTGAAGGAAGTATTGTATTATTAATACATGCTGAATAAACTGTGGGAAAAATATTTTTATAATAAAAATTTCTAGAGAAAATATTAATTTTGTTTTCATATTTTTTAAAGCTTTTATGTACGTATAAAAAATTAAATATGATAAAATAAAATTTTTAACCAAATTAGTTTTAGTTTTTTCAGTGAATAATATTCCATTTTGTAGTTCCTTGTCGATTTTATTTTAATTCTAACATAATTTAATAGATTGATCCATTAAACACTTAATTATTTCACAGTTTGTTAACGTTATAAAACGTTTGACACAAATCTTAAATTATTTGAATTACTTTTCAAATAGTTGAAATTATCAATGTATATTTTATTTTTCGAATAATCTGTTCTTTTTTTTTATAATAATTTTAGTAATTTATTTTTTTCGATAGTATAGATATAGTGTATTGTCTATGTTAAAAATTATTTGTGAATTAGAAATCCTTGGGTTTAGTATGTTTCATTATTAACTGTGTTACATGATTACTTACTATCAAAACATATATTATTAAATCGTGTCTGATAATTTTCTCAAATTTTTTTGTCAACTTCAAATTTATAAGACTGTGCATCAACAATTTTATTGTTTATGAGAACATGTTATCAGTGTCTAGATAGCTTTAAAAATGAATATATTATTATTTAAATTCTTTCTACTTCTTTTTTGTTCTTTTTTACACTTTATGGATCGTAGAATTTGTTTTCATTAAATTTCATGAATAGTACCAGTTTTAGACCAATAAACAGTGCTTTACCAATAAACAGTGACATTGAAATTTTCTAATTTTACATACTTCGTAAGAACGTGAAGTTCCATTGAAAACAAAATTGAAAGGTTCATAAATATTCTCTTTAAAGCCAACACGTTAAGGTAATTACTATAATTATATTACTATAATTTATTACAAAAGAAAAAAAATTATAAATTTATTTGACATGAAAAAATTGTATATCTTAGCATTAGATAAGAAATCAAACATAATAAATATAGGTTGAAAAGTAAAAAAAATTGATAGTTAATTATTAGGTGTTTAATGTGCTTTATTATCAAGTTTAAATGTAACAGTAGAATGTTAGAATGTAGTAGTTCAGAAATAGAATATTTAAATATTATGTAATTTAAATATTTGTAAATTATATATAAAAATGAAATTAAAAGAAATTATTACATTCGTGTATTAACAGAAGTTGCTATAAACGTTGCTATCTTATAATTTGTATGATACATTTGGCTTTAGTCATATAAAAATACTAGGTATACGTATACTATGTGTACTACGTGTACTATATTTATACGTGCTTAGATAATCGATAAAATTACCCTTTTATTAGTTACAATAGCGAATATAAATATATAAATACTAAATTGAATAGAAATTATCAAAGTTGTAATATGGCGTCATTGAATTTAGAATTTACATACGTGTTGTTTATTTGAGAAATAAATATTCCCTAATGAAATATTTTGTCAAACACATATGCGATATTAGAAGGTATAATACAATTTGAAAGGTGTATTTACGAAATTACTATTAAATAAATTAAATTATATTATATATTACTATTTTTTATTATTTCATAATAATTTATGAAACATATACATATATTGATATCTATTGTTGATATATTTACAAGAACAAATGATGTAGTTAATTGAAAGTGTTTGAACTAATTAATCTTTTTTTTAAGAAAACATAGAAAAAGAATCACCTTTATAATTTTATTACAATTTTTAAGTTTTGAATTTTCATACCTGTAACAACATAATTAATCAAAGTGCAATTTTTGTATAATATTGTTTCTTAATTATGGAGAACAAGTTACATATTTGATTATTTAATTTCTTTTTCAATTATAATTCTCGTTACTATTTTATTCAATTTGTTTATCTATGAGATTTTCGTTCTATGTTGTTACGAAAGCGTTTTGATGTAATGTATTTATGTTCATCCATCTTTTTGGCTGAACGTTGTTCTTTCGCAATCTTTCATAAGTCAAGACTTATAAATGCTCCACTAATACTTCACGAAATATAACTATATCTTCGCGTTGCAAGGTAAAAGACCTCTATTCTTACTTTAGATCTATAGAAAGCTTAAACGTATTCAAGTTATCGATATTATCAAATATATGTTGACAAATAACAGTAATTCATCGTTTATCATTGCTCAATGATATAATTACTGTATACTGTTTTCAATATGAATATTTTATATATAGCGGTGCAATGTTTCATAAAATAAGTAACTTAAATGTTCAGAGACTTCTGTAGTATACCATGGAGATCGATCGCTTCCACTGTGTGCATGATGACATATTTCGATTTTAAACTCGCTGTGTTTTCTAATGCATGCGAAAAAATTTCTGCAATTTCTGCTAATTTTTCCTTCAAACTGAAAATGAATCGTATTTATTTTATACTACTATTAAATACCAAGCATTACTTACTATATTCGAAAGTATCAAATTGTTAAATACAATATCATTGAAAGGTATTTGTTAAATACACGGTTAACTATATTAATTATATATATAACAAATTTAAGTACTCACATTCCTTTGGTCTTTCAAAAAAAAATGGTCACGTCGAAAAAATGTTTAGTCCATTATGCATAGGTTATGTCTTGCTATACCACAGACAATGAAAGACACAGGTCCTTAACCTCTTCTTTGATTTCAGACATGATTTTAAACATAAGGACATAGAATGTTTCAAAATCCATCTCTAGGCACAAACTGTTGAAATATTAATCGTTAGGACGTGAATAAATGTGAAAAACACAGTTTGGTATGGAATTTTTACCTTTTTCCTTCTCTTCTCCGAAGATAATTTATATACATATGTATATATTCCTTGTCGCGAGGTTTTTATCATTTTCATAACCTCAATTCGAAATGAAGTATTGATATTTTTAATCTCGATAATTACTTGTATAATTATCGATTATAAGTTCGTAATAATATATTGCGTCCGCCCAATTGTAATATTATTTTCTCTGTGGTTTAAATATTTTCAAAAAATTTCAAATATACATACCTATATATATTAAAATTTGCAATAAATCATATTCATATAATGTGTCTTAATATACGTTTAAAAATATTAAAGTGATGTATCCGTTATAAAATTTCATTGAAAAGAATAAAATATTAATAAATTACGTTTTATGTACAGGGCACTGCCGAGGCTCTTGCTGCTGCTGCCATTACCACCACCACAAAGATACAAGAATAAGATGGTATTCGAAGATGAAATGTCCAGATAAAACGAAGCAACCTGCGCCACAGTTTGAAAGCCATTGATTGAATATTAGAGAGGAATCAACACAATTATTAATTCGAAGAGCACAAAAATTTTTATTGGAAGGCGAATGGAAACGAAACGTGCAAAATACACGAAAAAGGCAGAAGAGTACTGCTGATGGTGAAAGAAATGATCGAATGGCATAAACTTTAAGGATAAAGGAACGTTGTTTCGGCTATATTTCGTGCAATCTGTTGTGCGGCAAGTCGTGAATGTGTGTATGAGTGCACGCGACTCGTGTGTGCATTGAAACTGTGCGCGTGTGTTTCTCGTTCTGCCATCTTGAAAGTCATCCAATTTCTTTCCCTTGGCGGCACTGGCTCACGTGCGCGGGAAGCGTGCACAGTGCGTGCATGGTACACGCACTGTGCTAAGTTGCTACAAACGAAGAAACCTAGTTTCGAAAGCAACTGTAAAATAACGGTTCATCGGCAGCACACAATAGAACTACGAGATGAAAGCGAATTTGCCGATAAATTTATTTCATTGCGGGAGTGATAACGAGTGTCGTAACAGCAGTAGCGATAACAGTGGTAGGAGTAGGAACTACAACGCCGACAGCAGTACGCACGACAGTGACAGTAAGAAAAACGGATATGACAATGGTTTTAGCGGTAACGAGAAATCGCAAGTGGAATATAGTGTGCAAGTTAAGTGTGAGCCACGTGGCAGTGATGAGATTGTCGGGCAGTTGCATTTCTGCGAGATATACCCGCACTGATTGTGAGTGCTAGTAGAGAAGGAGAAAGCGGGAGACAGAGAGATAGAAGCCACCAAGACTCTCGTGGAGAGCGGGGCACTGAAAGATATGCGGACCTTTGTGCGAACAGCTGAACCGGAAGTTGTGAGAACAAGTGGAGTGCAACGCGCTCCGCCTAATCGGTGATAGGGTCAGTCGGTTAAAAGAAGACAAAATTGGCGTTTGCACGACGGCAACGCGGCATCTTTCGTGATCACCTTTTTCTCATCCCTTCCTTTTCTTATTTCGTTTCGTTTCATTTTGTTTCCTCTCTCTTTTTCTCAAACTCTGATGCAACTCATACGTTCATTTAACACGCTGTTCTTCTATCGATTATCGAAAGATTATCTCGTATTTTATTTCGATTGAAATGGTCATTAAATGTAAATCGCATGATGGTGGCACGCAATTAAAATGTTGACGGAAGGATAATGCAAGCGAGAATTCGTCATATAGAAGCCGCGTCGCGTTTCCCCACAATAATGAAGGTATACTTTTCTAAATACATGTATCGAGACAATTAGTGCTCAAATTTCGCGGTCTTTCCTTCGATACGTGTATCGTGTACGAATCATAGTTGAATTTGTACGATCATAAATCTATAGCACAGCGATTGCGAGGATTATTTAAATATCTCTGAAATATATAATATAATAAATAATTTGAGAGAAATTTTATAAAAACATATACCAAAATTTTAATCGTATTTTGCAGTATCATCAAAATTCATTCCAATTTCTTTGAAAATTCAGATTCTGGTCCTCGCAATCAGTTCCTTTCCCCCATTTTTTTTTCCTTTTCTCAGTGCTTATAGAACCGCGATAAAAATTATTCATGAAAACGAATCGCAGTTTCGCGTATTATTACGTGCATGTCTCTTTACATATTTATCCACGTTCAGTTCCACAGACAGCTTAAACACCAAATACTAATTTCGTATTTCTCCAACTGTTATCTGCAGAAATCGTCGCTGGAGCAACAGCGCAAGAAAGAAATTTGAAAAGTCGGTTAAGTTGTGTTACAAGTGTACGATATCGAGTGGTGTGGAACGCATGAAAGTGTACGTAAGTTACCAGGAAGAGAGAGAAGCAGCGAGCGAACGCGGGAGAGTGAAAGAGAGGTAGCGAGAGGAAAAACATCAGGCAGCGACGAAGAAATGAGTAGACAGTGAGCAGTAGCGGAAAGAAGAGGGAAATGATAAAGAAAAAAAAAGGTCTGCGAAGGGAATAGTTTGTGAGAAGAGAAGCAAAAGTTCGCGCGACGTACAGTATAATGTGGAGTAGCGTGTTTCACAAAAGCTTTTAAAAGTCGATATAGAATTTATAAATAGATCGGTTGGTATACTCACATATGTGCACGCGTACGCATGTGTGCGTGATTACGCGCGCACACGTACGTGATTTTCACTCGAGACTGAAGCGGTGAATTATTCTCGCACGGATCGACTACTCGTGGGGGAAATTCGAGATCCGGCTTACCTTCCACAGCTGACGTCATTACCGGTAAGTTGCTTTTCCGTTACTAGTAGACTTATTCCTCTACGACGTTAAAAATGCTATTTTAATCTTTTTGCTTTTTACCTTAATTTTCTTTTTACCTTATTTTTTCCTTTTCTTCTTTTTTTTTTTTTTTTTT